GAATTGGAGCAGAAGTTTCATTTAATGGGTGCAAAATAACCCAGTAGTTGACTTCAACAAACGCCCCTTAACCCAAATCACCACCTTTCACCTAAAAGATGTCAATTTACTTTTGGCCATATTCCAGCTAAGTCATCAGGCCATCTACCCCATGTAAAGCCCCCGTCTGTCTCTTATGTGAGTTATGCGGAGCTCTTCTGAATTGAACCCTGAACATAATGAACCTAGCTAGGTTACATGCCACACTGACACCATATTGATATGAAAGTGTTGAAAATGTGCTATAACTTTGACAACTTCATTAGGTATGCTTTATGAAGACAGCAGGAAAGCAGGTAGGTACCTACTTACCTGCCTAGATGTGTCACTGGCTACCAACAGTACCAACGAAGGTAGATAGGTTATATGTGAAGAATTCAAAACATTTTATTGCAATACAATTTGAAACTGTTAGGACTGGGGGATAGGGATGAGCATTAAAAATATATTTAAAAGGAAATGGAAAGGACAGGGACTCTGGAACCACAGGATAAGTTAAGGACAAAGGAAGAAGAACAAGGAAAATTAAATGCCGTTGGTGCGACTGCGAAAAAACAAAGAAAACGTTTTGCCAAGAAGTATGCTAAGCTTTTATAAATCCTTATTCTTCGTCTTTTGATTTTTTGGTAAGATGACGTCATTGATTATCATGTAGTATGGTAGATCATCATAAAATAAATCGGTTGTACAACACCAATTTCGTTTTAATTATTATTTCAATTGAAATAAAACCACTTAATAATATTCGGTAAAATATTTTAAGGAAAATGAAAAATATTAAATATGTTATGCCTAGGCTCTCAGGAGAAAAGGATCAACAAACGTTCTGCTGCAAATTAAACAATGCAGCAAATTAGCTATTAATGTAAACGTAATTAGCGAGACGAAAACGGCGCTTTTGTTTCAGTTATTTTTGTAGGGGTTTCAGATATTTATAGAGTTCAGTGGGTTGTTTCTGAGGAGATTTGGAGATGTGAATTAGTAATTAATCACACTTTATTAGTATACAGGGCCTTGCACTTTATCATCTGGATTAAAAAAAAATTCCTGCTGAGTGCAGAAAGGTAGGTAGGTGCATCGCCAGGTTCTATCACAGGATTGGAGCAGTTATTGCAGTTGAAAGTCAAAGTTGGCTGTTCATGTTTAGGCCCTGTTCTTTATTTGGCCATCTACTCCATATTGCAGTTGTGATGACAAGCAGTTTTCAGTGTAGTTTTGTGATCTTTGATGTCATCAATTGGTGTCATTATTTTTCGTCAACTAAAACTTATTTCAACTTTCCATTCAATCGACTCAATCATACGAGTCACTCTAATTTTCGGGAATCAAATCAGTCAACCAGTCGCTAAAGTCAAACGAGTCAGTCAACCAGTCATCTCGAAAAGTCAATCGACTCAATCCAATCAACTCAAAATACGCGCTGAATCAAATCAATCAATTCAATCGACTTGATTGGTATACAACCCTGCTTAGCAAGTGATGTGTTAGCCACCTGGTAAGGCAGTGGAGTAACTATTACTTCCAGCATCCGCCGCTAGGTGGCCAATCAGCTTGCGCCTGCGGATTAGGCTGTACCGCATGGCACGACTGAATCACTTGTAATCTGTCATTTCAATTTAGACCGAAACGTATACATTCTGAGATAGACACTCCTTACACTCTCCCTGCCATCTCATCCCGGCCATACTACAGCATAAACCTACCTCTCCGTTTCAAGTCTTAGAAGTAAGTAAAACATCCAAGAACAACAGCCTTCCCGCAAAAGATTGGTAACGGGCACAGAAAACGTTTTCGTGAGTGGAGGCACTTCGGCATTTGCGTGCAGTCATACTGTGAGCCATGAATGACAACCCCAGATCTCTCTCAGCTCAGATGTCGTGTCGAGCAGTCAATCTTCGATCTCCAGCTGTGGTTCCAGGCCAACAGTCTAAAGATGAACCAAAACAAAACCTTTATCACTCTCATTGGAACCCAGCAAACTCTAAAAAAGACTGAGTCATTCTACGTCTCACTCTCCGGTAACGACATTCGGCCAAGTCAGACCATCAAAATTTTGGGTGTGCTGCTCGACCGACACCTGACGTGGGATCCCCACATAACCATGGTTGTGCGTCGCTGCAACTCCATCCTCGCATCCCTCCACAAAATCCGGCACCACCTCACTCCTGACGTCCTTAAACTCCTAGTCCAAGCCCACGTGTTCTCACACATTCAGTATTGCCTGTCCGTCTGGGGAGGAGCCGCCAAGTGTCAAATGCAGCGCGTCCAAAAGACGATGAACTTCGCCGCCAGACTTGTGACCGGGACGCGACGGTCCGAGCATATATCGCCGGCGTTGGAGTCGCTTGGTTGGGAGAGAGTGGATGTGATGCTGCGCCGCCGCCGCCATGATCATGTTCACGTCCAGAGAGCCCTGTATAATGACCAATGTCCCCCAGCGATGTCGGCCATGTTCACCCGCCGGGCCGAAGTGTCGTCACGTGACACTCGCGCGGTAGCAGCCTGGAAGTTGCAGCTCCCGAAGTGGCGGCTCGCAAGAACTCAGCGGGAGTTTGCATATAGAGCGGCAGCATCGTGGAATGCGAAGGACACCGCCACAGGCACCTGATTTTAGAATGTCAACCTGCTGATGTCAACTTCCTACATGCGGATGATGCGTTCGCGAGTGTTTTAACCCTCGCACGACCAGGCCATTTCTCATAACACGAACGACCAGGGGGGGGGGGTTGTTACGACCCCCCCCTGGCGTTTCGAAACGGAAGGTCGTAGAGCTTAGCGGAAAAAAACCAACGGATTGCTCTCAACGAGAGCTCGCGATTGGTGGTATATTTTTTGGTCCTAGGTCAATATTTGACCTACTTTTGACCGGTCAAAGGTCAAATTATCGGAAAAATAGACTTTTTTCAATTTTCGGCGGCGATTGCGGCAAAACGGTGGGAGATATCGACTTGAAACCTTCACTATCGTGTTCCTTGATCAATTCTCTATCGTTTGGTATGTATTTCGTTTCCCTAGCTCTAAAGATGGCGCGTTGGGAGCGCCGGAAGTCGGCAAGGTCACAGTCGGCGGCAGAAATTCGAAAAATCAAAATTTAAACTTTTGAAATCTGATTGTATTTTTGGATTTGGGAGGTCCATTTGCTCCCTATAGAAGCTAATATTGCTGCATATTCCCATTGAGGTGACAAGAATTAGCAAAATAGTGGTTTGGGCGCTTTTCAAAAAAAGTACCGGACGCTGTTCCTCTTGTGACGTCATAGCTCCGTGACCTGACCTGACCCGGTCAAATTTCTTATACCATATGATAGCCAATACTTGCCCCAACATGCATGGGAAGTTTCATCACGATCCATCAACCGATGTCCGTACCACCGGCAGGAAACCTCGGGCGTTGGCACTCAGTTTGTGAAAATCCGGCCGGAGGCTGTACCTGTTATGACGTCATAACTCCGTGACCTGACATGACCCGATCAATTTTTTTCGGCAAAAGATGCGCAAAGGTTGCCCCAGAGGGTATTGAAAATTTCAGCCCGCTACGACAAGCCGTTTAGCGTGCACTTCGAAAAAACCTCAGGGGGGGGGTTGATACAACCCCCCCCCCCCCCCTAGGCGTTCTAGGATTAATGTAATCGTGTTTTAACGTAGCTTTTGCCATTGTATCAGTATCATATATTTTTAATTGGGTCTCATTTAGCTCCTATTGTCACCATGACCGGATTCTTAATACCCACCCCGTGGAAGAATTCTAATAAAATGACTTTGATGACTTTGACTTTGACTTTGAATGAGGTGAGAATACCATGTGATTTCTTGGCAATTATCTTACCTAATGGTTTCCCATGTGTGTCAAATGATGTTATTATTCCTTCGGCTCAGAATTTGATAAAAGGGGGCTCATCATTTATGTATTTACTCTAAGCATGGTCGTAGTTCATGCCATTGCATTATTAGTTGTACGAGTACGTACACAATACCTAATTGTCATTAATAATTTGTGATTTATTCCGAGTAATTACTTATTCCTTCGGCAAAAGCTATAGGTACCTAAGCGATGAATATTTGTCTTTTAGCCTTACTGTCACCGAGATGTTTCAGCCAACGGCTGATAGAAAATGTGCTTATATCTGGCTTTATCAGCTGGGCTTAAATCACCTTATTTTGAACTTGTTTCAATAGCATGTTTATTTATGGAAAATTACCAACTTCGATGAACTTCCCAGCGGAAAAATCACGTCTGTGCTGTCAAGGTGTGTCAACATCCACACGCGCTTCTCAGAAACAAAGACATTTTTCAGCCTATTGGCGCCTTTCGTAAACAGTATTGAATGGAACTCCCCTGTCCCGTGCCAATCTATATGTTAATCTCCCTTCCTGCCCTCTCCCCGACGCTAAACAAACCAAATTTGCAAGGTGTTGTGAGACGCGCGCCCTGCCTGCTGTCGCCGCTGCCTCAGAGGGAGGCTACCCCTGACTGCGCCGCCCGCTCGCCCGGGTATCAGTTCCCTGTCCGTCTCCCCCGCTACAGCGCACCAACTCGTGAGGCTGTATCAGAGAGCGGTCAAATTCTGCCCCTGCCGCCGGCCCTGTCACGATACAAGGGCTCGGAGGGTCCGTCTCGGTAAAAGAGCAGATTTCAACAAGTCATGGCCAAAACGAGACTTCATCTGACTTGAACAGCACATAAGGCAGCCTGCTTTTCGTTCCACACACTCATGAACCAACAACGACAACGAATTTAGCATGGCAATATTTTGCACAAGCATATGTGTTCGGCGTCATGACAGTTTTACAAGAACAGCGCACCCAAAGCAATCGGTCACACATACCAAAGTCACACGCACAACACACATAACATTATTTCATTTTGATAATTAAACACAGACATCTCCACAGACGCGCTCATGTTGACACTCCCTTGAGTACACACAGCTGACACCTCCCTCCCTATCTAACCGTAGCTTATCCGGGATGTTATCGGCCTCAGCTGTTGCCGTGACGCCGGCACAGAGCTCACACCTGAAGGAAAGCCTCAGTTCCCATCTGTGGGTGGTCTGAGAACCGCGCGACGGCTCTGCAGAAGGTCTGTGACGCAGAGAAATGACGTGTCGGTGATATGACGTGCGGTGAGTGATGTGGAGAGAGTAAGGTGATGTTAGTGGCTGAAGACGAACAGGATTTCCGTTGAACGACGGACTGAACGTTCTTGAAACGAGAGCCTGTGCGATTTCTTCAAGAAAGGACGAGGAATTATGCCATGGACGCTGAAGTGTTTTCGAGATGACCGGAAGTAATTGATACATAGCTGTTTTAAGACAGTTGGCATCCTCTTGATGGATTTTACAAGCTGTATCACCGAAGTGCTTCTTAGAGAAAAGCATTATCTTGCTTGCCGGGACTGATTCTCAACGAACGAGAGCATCGTGAAAATTTTGAAACATTGATGGGAGAAAAAGTTATCAGTGCCCTTGACGACACACCTACTCGCAACTGAAATCAAGTGACAAGACTGGCAAAAAACTGCACACACCGAAGCATATTGAAGGAGCAAAGAAATCTCATTTCTCAAACCACGTCTGTTGCGGACGAACATATGCTCGTCAGCCAAAATGGTACGCGGCCGGCTGCTGATAGGCTGTTTGCTGGTTCCGATATTCGTCACAACCCTTGTACTGTTTGTACTGATAAGAAGGACCACCTTCTATCGTGAACGAGCCATTGCAGCCAAAGGTAAGAATGCTTATCTTTTGCATTGCTATTCTTTGTAATAACACTTACAAACATGCAATGTCAACAGTAATCATTTGACTTCCGGTTACGATGGCATAAGTAAATTGTGCATCAACGGCTTCGACAATTTTCCACATTTGGAATGCATGACAAAACCAGATACAAATTGATGTCTCGCTATTATATCCACACAGCTAACCAAAACATTTTCTTTCAATGCTGCAGGTGACCACGAATCACCATATTATAAAGAGCTGCAAGAACCTTCTTCTTCTTCTTCGGCGCCAGTGCCGCTTCTGTCTACAGAACAATACATGAGATTATCGAACATCGGACACTCAAAGGAAGCATTTCCAGGCTTCAGTGGAGACATCGAGTAAGTTTTGAGCAGCGCGGTGGACGCTGGCGACGGCGGAATAAAATGGATACAGATCAATGATTAGTGTTTCGTACAAGCATCAAAAATGTTAATTATCAGCTAGGTAACCAGCAACAATTTTGAGCTGAACCACGCTCAACGTGATTTGAAGTGCATTCGTGACCGTTTATATCCCTAGCTTAACGTTACAGGACATTGGTACATTAAGTTCAAATGCTTGAACTTGTGATATGTTCTTATGGCTCATACATATACGCTAAGTTATGCATAGTGACGCAAATGAGACATGTGGTATTTCCTCACGTTTCATTTGTGATCAGTGGCAGAACATTGCATCATATAAATATTGTGCCGGCTCGTAAATTTGTATATCATATGTAAAGTAACATCAGTGCGTATGCTCATTGCTCATGTTCATTTCCGTGTCCTGGTCATAACGTCTCTCCCCGTTTCCTGATCGCAGGCCGTCGCAGTACCCATGGATCCAGCTCCACTATGGTCACTACCGGCGACACCTGCTGGAGGCTGGCTACGGGTGGGTCAGCCGACCGATAGCCGCGGGGTACGAGGCCACTGAGATTCAGCGAGTGGTCCACGAAGCTTCCATGGTGCTACCGAAGTCGCACGGAGCTGCCGGTACCGACTGTATCGGCGGCCGCCTGCGCTATCTGCCAGGTCTAGGAGTCGAGTATGAGGTGTACCTCCGGGATCGAGCGGCACGGAACTTCGGGGATGTGTCCCCATATGACGACGAGTTGACCTCGGAAGAGATCAGCTCTAAGCCAGTGCTGACCCACCACAAAGTGCTCCTGCAGCGACCGATGGGAGAGCTCGAAGTGGAGTACGTTGGCAGGACTTCCAGCCAGCTAGTGCACATTATCCTGCCCTACTACAACCGACTGGAGGCGCTGGAGAGGTTCCTGTCGCGCTTCGTTCAGATGGCGCAGAAGCCGCAGCCGCTAGCACTCACTATCGTCCGGTTTTCCAGTGGCTTTCCGAGGATGGACGCAGATGAGGAGGAAAACGACCGACAAAGAGTTGATAAGCTGGTGGCAAACGCCGCGCGGGAGCTGGGAGGCGCGTTCGTTCCTCCGGTGAGACTCCTGGAGGCCGACGGGATGTTCTCAGCCGGGAGAGGCTGGCTGACAGCCACGGAGGCGACTGTAGAAGACGGGATCGTGATGCTGGCCCATGTCGATCTGCTGTTTGGGGAAAGTTTCCTGCAGCGATGTCGAGCGAACACAGAGTCCGGCCGGAGGGCCTACTACCCAATTACGTTCAGCACCTACAACCCGCGCGTGGTGTACGGCGTGTTCAAGAGGAAGGTGCGCTCGGTGGTGGAAAACTATGACAGCGGGCGGCTGCACCAGCCCGAGCTTGGCTACTGGCTGGACGAGGACTACGGGGTCTCGTGTCAGCACCTGTCCGATTTCCGCAGTTTCAGTGACCCGTTCGGCGGCAGTGTAGATCACGATCTGGACGTTATGTTGTACGAGAGGTATGTGAAGAGCAGGGTGGATGTGATACGAATGCCAGACCCAGACTTGGTTCAGGTGCATCATAGGGTAACCTGTTTTAGGGAGATGGGAAAGACTGAGTACAACGCGTGTCTCAAGGCCAAGGCCATGAACGAGGCATCTAAACTGGAGTGGGGTCTGTGGGTGTATAAGAACCTGGGCGATACGGACGAAATAGAAAAGTTCTTGGAGGTAGTCAACAAATTTGGGTTTACAGTGCCTCCGAAGGAAGGCATTATAGTCCCTGCCAATGCTACCAAGGACACACATGTATGAGAGTTATTCTTTTACATCTAGTTTCATTTTATTTTGAATTTATGCTCAATAGATATTAATTTATAGAGCTGTTTGTAGCATACCGTCAATGCCGTGCATGAAGTGAATATAATGTCGATATTTTACGCCTTTGGATTTTCAAACAAAGACTTCCACGCCGTGAAAACGTAGGTGCCTCCAAATGTCAGCTTCGTCCCTTGGTTCTCTGCCTCAGCGTCTTATTCGGTTATTCCACTACTACCTTTTTGTACCGTCGTCGTAGGGCCCGCTATCTGTAGACAACATGAGGCCAAATTACCCTTCTATGGGACGGAATTTGATTAGGCGATATGCATTAGCCAGCCAGTCAGCAAGGTGCGCCAATGAAGTCAGACTCAACTCCGGGGGATAATCCCATTATCCACCGGCCCCCGCTGGAACAATGAACGGAGGGAGGCGGGTGGCCAGATAGGCCGACACGGCACGGACTAGGAAAAGGTGCCCGGGGTACATCTCGCAGATTTACATCGCTATGGAAAGCGATGCAAATCTCCTTTGTGCCGAATCCTAAGAGAGCACGGAATGGTGAAAATTTTCTGTTTTCCATCAAAATGATATAAATATTGTTTCATCAACTAAATCTTTATTTTTGCAATTCTCGTTTTACGGATATAATCGTCGTTCTTCATTGACTCTGTTAACATCAAACCCCAAACGCGGATGAAGATGCCGTCAAAGGACAAACTAAAAGGATAATTCGATGACCTTTACAGACTCGGTGGTCAGCGCAAAGCCTCGTCGTAATGTCATTCTGAGCAATGAGTCACTTCACGTCCACTGGACTTCAAAAAGGCTTTAAGAAGGTTCTGCGTCTGAAAAAAAGCATTTTACACCTTTCTACTTTACTGTGAGCCGGCCACCGTATACTGAGACACTAGTCGGATCCAAAGACACTTCTGAACCGTCACATTCAAACTGAATGACAAATAGCATCGCCGTAACTTCCCGGGGGATCGGTGCCAATTTCTTCTTAGCTCCCCGCCGGCGGAGACGGCGGCTCGTAAAGGCTGACAGCACGGCGCGGCGTCGAAACAAGGGCGTCCGTCGCGCGTCTATCAGCTCTGTAAACACGACAGTCGTAAAGCGGCACCCGTCGGGGCTGTCGCTGCAATCAGTTCCGCTTCCGGCGTGACGGCCGCCGGGATTCGGGACTGGCCCGATGCTCCGGTGCTCCGGAGATCCGGAGATCTGGAGGTGTCACGCGCTCGGTGAGGCGACGAGGGCGGGTGATGTTTGAGATCTGACCGTCGCAGTGGTAACTAACCCTCCTCGCTGTTACTTCAGGTAGTTAGGTAGTCGGCTGGTCGGGTGGCAGACTGAGATTGTCAAGCACAAATCCTATCGTATACTTCTGGCTTACCGCTACCCGTAGATAGGCGAGGAATAGCGAACGATAGCAGCACTCACTTGATTTGGTACGCAAGCCTCTGCGACTCTATGTGAATCCTTTCTGTGGAATGCGAGTCCCTATCTCAAGTGCGCTAACTCTAGAACAAACACCGGTTCTCAGACTGCGAGAGCTCCGTCTGGCTAACTCGATTGTCTGTCCGGTGAAGGGAGGGCAGCCTGCGCGGTCCCCTGACGACCTGGCGCCATTTGTCGACGCTAATCAGACAGAATCAAGCCAGACTGTTATCCAGTTTGGCCACGGCCAGACGGGGGACTTGTTTTCGTGCGTGTCACGGAGACTGAAGTAGCCGAACGACAGCCGCCCAGACGCTCTAACTCAATCGGCGACGAGTGAAGTTGGTCGTCCGTAAAACGAGAGGAGGATGGCGAGCAGGGGTGACGGCTCTCACACAATCACTGTGTTGGCTTGGTGAGGAGACGGCTTGATTGCAGTGGAGTTAGCAGTCGGTGGATTTCAAAATGTTTTCTTCCTTTTATCACCTGTTTGCATCCGTTTGCTCCAGCCCTGTCTTTTTAGCTTAGCTGTAACTTGAAAGGGACATCACTCATTTTTTTACTGCAATAATTGAATCGTATTAACATGCTACAGCGATTTATCTAAACAAACTTACACTACCTTAGCCAAAATGGAGCAACAGACGACAAATGTGTTATTAGATGGAGACATATCTGATATCCAATTTGCCTTTCTCTGCAGGGCGTGCTTCGTATGGTACGGCCTCCATGCGGAATTTCCCTCACCCGTCCCGGTATCCAATAACGTAACAATGACAAAGTGCCAGCTCCCGTTACCCTTCCCCATCATTAGTGCGAACTTGGCGGGTGAACGTCCTCTCTCGACAGCGAGCCGTGCTGGTGTCGGCACCATCCCCATCCCTGGGGTGTCCCACCACACCAGGCCGCGGAGCCGCGCCGGGAAGTCTGCGGGCCGCGGTCGATTGGCGCACACCACCTCCCCTCGTCTCCCTCGTCTTTTCTCCCCTCTCGGAGACATCCGGCGGCCCGGAACGACCGCCGAGTGGCCCGAGGCGGAATGTTACCGAGTGGGGGTCAATTTCGGCACCCCCGGCCGGCCGACGTCGCAGTCAGGCCGGCCGACGTCGTCTTATTGGGTCTCCTAGGGGACCATTACGGCGACAAGTTGTTTGTTCGTCGTTATTGCGTTTAGCCGTGTCGCCGTGCTGTACGGTATAAATGGGTACAGTGGAGCAGGGGAAGGAGAGACTTGATGAAGGAAAGAGACGTTAGCATAAGATTTTACTACGCTTGTAAGGCCAGATGGAATAAGAAACAACTCGTGAAACAATTTTTTACTTCTCTTGTTGAGGTGACGTAGAAGATGCGCTCTGCTTCCGAACAGCCTGGTGCCACCGAAACGCATAGGTAGGTATAGCAAGCCATTGAGCAATGTCCGTTATATGTATTGCTGTGCTGATTGCTGAACCCTCAAAACCCCGCGAAAGGCTTATCTAGCAAGCGATGTGCGAACTGTGAACCTCAGCCACTCCAAGCTCGATTACCCACTCGCCCCAGGTGAACTTACTTGGAGAGACCGGTGACTCGCAGGTCGCAGCATAGCCGCAGTTTCGCTGCCCCGGTACAGTGGACGACATATCACCCTCGGGTCGACCCCGGCTCGGTGGACAGTAGCCCTGCGGCAAGCACAGTGGCCGGCCTACGTCAGCACTGTCCACCGACTCCATCTTTAATAACCGCCGGCGCCGGTCGGGCCTGTTATGACGACCATTTATCAGGCGGGCCTTTGTTGGTTTTCGGTGCGCCCGGTCGGCCGGACCCTGAATAGATATGTGACCGTTCGCCAGCTGTCGTCTGCTGTAAAAAGACAGCGGCTGGTCAGAGTAGGGCCATCTCCCCATATACCCAGACTTTCCCTAGGGGAAGAGAAGAACGGCGAGGGACTCTTCTCGGGAGTGTGGGGGTGCGGATCCAGCCAAGACGGAGATTGAGCGGCTAGGTCGGATTATAGGTGAAATGAGCAGATCAAAGGTGGGGATTTCCGCTGACGAAAGTGATCTTTTGTGGAAGCGTGCGTGATATTTGCTCGGACGGAAATGGCTGTCAGGTGAGGTCAAGGAATGGAAGCCACTTGGCGTAAAAATTGGTGAATGTAAAGCTATATTGGTTAAAGACGCTTTAGCATTGAAGACCCATTAGTTTTTGGTAAAACAGCATAACATTATAGGAATGATTTCATATTTGCTTGAGATATTAACCATTGTCTCTGGAAACCTAATCCCGATTTATGTGATGTTCTGCACATACCAGACATACAAACATCGTTCATACCGGCCCCCGGTCAACAGACATGGTAGCCCAAATCTAGTCGGATATGAAAATTCTTCTAAATCCATAGACTTTAATGCTAAATTGACTATATTTGAGAGGGTTTTATGAAGATACATGACCAGATACAGAAAAAAGCGAGATGCTATCTTGTAGATTAATTCGTCTACTATCTGCGACTTTTGAAGTGTTTTTCAATCTGAGGTACGGAAATCGTGTTCCCAAGAGACTGAAAGTAGCTATGCTTTACATTCGACCCAATGGCAAAAATTCGGAATCTGACGAAATTGGCCATTTTTACGTCTGATTTATGAAAATTTTAGACAGGATATATAAAAACCCGAGATGCTATCAGGTGGGAAATTTCATCGTCTTTTACCGCTTTTTGAAGTGTTTTTTCGATCCGAGACCGGCAAATCGTGTTCCCAAGAGACTGAAAGTAACCCTGTTCTACAGCAAGGCAATGGCAGAATTATAATATTTGATGGAAAATATCTTAGATGATAATAACCTTACCACTAATTGCAATGCTTCATTGGAAAGCTCAACACTGGCGCTACCATCGGTCTTTGCATTGCTATTTCACAGAACAACAAGAAATAACGTTTTAAAGCCATTGAGGATTGACTTACTTTTCATCGCCGGGCTCGATCCCCATCACCACCAACAATTTTCCGGGAAGTCAGGATTTTGCAGATATTTAAGCAGAATTGCAGAGCTGTGTTAATACTAGGGCACTTAAATACACATTTTAAGAAAACTGCTTTTTTTCTTAGCATGAGTTAGGTCTCAGAAACAGCAACATGTCGATATAATTGGATATAATGAGGAAAAATAAGTGCAAATGATCGCGCAAGAGAGTATCCTTAGCTCCCTAGCAACCACCTAGCAACGTAACGCAAAATAGTAAACAACCCCTGTTGATATCAGGTAGGTACTCAGCCTTGGAAGCACACTAGACGGTCACCAAACTGGGCTCCATACTGAATTTTGCATACCAGAACGGATGTTTCCAACTAAAATTATTTTTTCGCGAAATTTATCTTTGTTGCCCTACTATTTTTCGTAAAACCGAGATATACAAACTTCATGATATCAAAAATAATATTGTGATAATAAAAACCGCCATATAAAACACGATAATTGCTGAGATCATGCCAACTAAACTTGGTCCTACCCCCTAATTCAATATACCCTGGTTCATACATCATTTTGACATTTTATGCGACTGTAATTAATCGTGTTTATATTCTGGGGCATTTTAAATGAAACTATAGTTTGGTTGTGAGACCTGTAGACTTGTAGACTGTCGGCACTTGGAACTCAGTTCCTCCCAGTCCCAATTCCAGCAAAATTTTCTGAAGTCAGAAAACCGTATGGTACCGTTCCGCCCGCGACAGACAGTGAGGGAGAGCTCCAGTCCCTCCTCCTTCCTTCCCTCTGGATGGCCGCCTCTCAATCTCCCGAATCTAAATGGGGCCTAAAATAAGCAATCAATAGCCGTCGGTGCTACTAGCGGTCAGCAAATGGCTGATTTCGCCGCCTGCGGGCAGAGTCCAGTGGCAGCGGAAAGGGGAGGGGAGGGGAGGGTGTGAGGAGGAGGAGCTGAGAGAGTCGAGAGGAGGAGGTGAGAGAGTCGAGAGGAGGAGGAGGTGAGAGA